ATTCAGGACCTCATCATGCGCTTTGTTAACTCCAGAGAAGTTTTACCATTGACTTCAACAGTCTATGCGGCTGAAGGAAACAGAAGAGGTAGTGGCAGAAAGAGAGCCTTTGTGTTTATCTCAACACTTTTCATAAGTGAGAGGTCTACAAACATTAAATTTTATAAGTCCCCCGTGTTTGAAAAAAAAACATTGACCTGCTCTCTATGCCTTGAGGTGAAGCCAAGAAGCAGCTAAGTAAGTTCTCTGATGTGGAGTGAAAAAAACCCTGAGGGGTATTTTTGTGTGAATATGTATTTTCTAAGCAACCAATTGGTGGTTTTTGAGTCCAAAATGGGAAGCACATTGTTAAAGTATGTTTTTATAAAAAGTAATAAAAATGTAAAACTGAGATAAAAGTGTCATAACAGCAGTTTCATCATTTTTAATCACCACACCTGTTATTCCAGAAAGGTTGCAACCACCACTAAATATCTCCTTACATTGAGAGAACGCAGACTTTCTTTGAAGTCCATTTTCTGTTCTATTTTAAACCTGTAGAAATTATAGGAAAGAAAAAAGACCTGTTCTAAAAGGATCAATATTTTTTCCAGCCAATAAATGTTTTGTAAGGGAGGCAGCAAACCTATTAGTTAGAGCAGGGACAGGAGACAGGAGACTTGTTCTGCAATTGATTCACTATGTGATTTTGAGCAAATTATTTAACCTCTCTCTAACTTGGTTTCCCAATCTATAAAATGAGGATAATGATATTTACCCATGTTTTTTAAAGTATTCATAGAGCTATAAATGAAAGCTCAGTATAAGTGCTATTCTGCTCTATTTAGAAATACTATTGGAATGAGGCAGAACCAACGATCCCAGTTATCTGCACAGCACTGCACTGCACAAACAGTCCTATGGATTTTAAGGATTACACACTGTACACAGCAGTAGCATAACAAGGAGGTGGGGGGGTGAGTGGGGCACCCCCTTAGAGGGGGTGTCAGAATGACAGCTTCGCAGGGCAGCAGCAACAACCAAGGCAGACGGACTCTTCACACCAGCAGCAGCCTGGGATTTTACATCCCTGGTGCAGGTAAGACTGATCCTCTCTTTCCCCCTTTTCCTCTGCACCCCTGCAGGGTGCAAAACTTGCTAGTTATATTTGTGCATAGCTGTAGAGACTCAAATCCAATCTGAAGGCAAATTCAAAATTCTCATTAACTCAGGTAAGAGTAGGTAAGACAGGGTGTCACCTTAAAGACTAACTGTTTCAGAGAACATAAGCATCCCTAGGCATCTGAATAAGTAGCTTATTGCCTACAAAAGCTCATGCCTCTCTGAACCTGTTAGTGTCTAAGACCATTTATACACATGCCCTAGGAGCTGTGGGGGAGGGCTTTTATTAAAGAAGCTCTTGGAGCCGCTCTAACTAAAATGCTCAGGTCGTCATGTATATCAGCATCGCAGCACTGAAAAATGGCAGCAAGGGTGCTTTATCTAAACCTCATCAAACAAGCTTTAGTTAAAGCACCCCTGTCACCATGTTTCAACACGGCAACACTGATACATGTGACGCTGAACTGCTGGAGCATGTTAATTACCACACTCCAGAAGACTCAATTAATTACAGGGCGTCAGAGCAGCCTCACTACCTGTGTACAGACGCCCTAAGGTGCCCCACCTTCTGCCTGACTTCAGAATGACAAAGCTAACCACCTTTGTGTTTAAGTGGGAGAAAAATCACACCTATTATCAATGAGATTCCTCAAGCATTTTTGTACCTTACACTTGTGATGGGCTAGCTGATAGTGATTTCGCCCAGGGGTTTTGAAAGGATAAAAGATGATTGGAGGGCTTG